CCACTAGTATTCGCGGTCTCTCTTCAGGCTATCACAGAGTTTTGCCCGTAGCTCTTTGCGAGTTTCATTGTGTTCACTTTCAGCCGGAATATGCCGGAAAATATGGGTAAGTTTTGGAGACTGCGAAGAGACCCAATATCCATATTGCTGATTAGACTTACCACATGAGGATTTTCCTGCTGCTAGTAAGGTCTGGTGAATATGATAACAGTGAGTGTTTATCCAACTCGCATGACAGCGTGTTCACTCGACTTAAAATCTGAAGACAGCAAAACCGAGGTCAGATTGGAGTTAAACTCGCAGTACCTCGTTACGGCCAAGCAAATAACGCGTCCGCGTGTCATTCTGACGAACGCGTAAAACTGAAGATTTCGCTAAATTAACCGGCAACTGCCACAAGAGTCTGGTACCATCAGCTTTGTACGGAGCTAAATACCGAGCAGTACGCCGCGCTGGCCTCTAGCGAAAAGTTGCTGTTCAGTTGTGCCAATTGCTGCAGCCGCCGGCAAGGCCGCACAGCCTTTCGTACGAGAGATGAATCTCTTGATACCCGGCTGCGAAATGTAGAGCGTTCGTTCTCGATGCTCTCTGATCTTCGCTTTAAGATTGATCTGCTTATGACGACGCTACCGGTCTCCAACAAAGCAGATTTGATCGCTTACACTGATGATCAACTTGTGGCACCTATCATTATGTCACCGGTCCAGATGGCTACCGACCACCAAAATGTAGCAGCTTCGGACGTCGTATCTAAACCTACGCTGATCGACGCCGAGTTGCTGGTTCAAGGGTCACTTCGAGTTAAGCGAAGAAGAGACAGGAAACCTCGTAAGCTCTCTGCTAAACAAGTTGTTGTCTCGGCACCGGAAACAAGCCAAGTGTCGTTACTTGGCAAACCGTGTGACGGTTGTGCGAAGGCGAAGATCCCAACACGCACTACTTGTCAGCCGAAGTTGCCGGAAATCTTGGTTCTCACCGAGAAGACATATGCTGAAGGTGTGCTTGTTTCTGCTCAAAGTAAAAAAGCCTCACGGGACCCTGCTCCTGTTGTCAAGAAGAAAAAGCGGACAAAATCTGCTATAAAGTCTTCCGGTGAAATCGATGACTCTAACAAAAGTGAGACATCGACAGTGGAGCGAAAAACATACGCTGCCGTTGCTACATCATCGGAGGGGCTAAAGACAGTTCCATCACCAGTAGTGAAGCCACCCGCTCCGAGTGCCGAATCAAAGACCCGTGGGGTTAATACACCCCGTCGTGGCGATTCTTTCACGGATAGTAGCGTTATATTCCGTAACGCGGCTGAATCTACTGCTGTCCTTCCTGCTGATCGCATGTTGGACGACCTTCAATGGTTTAAAATGTGCGTAACGAAGCTCCTTCCGCCTGGTTTTCCAGGCGTTACTGTCAGGAAGCTGATTAGACTGGGGAACGTCCCAGTTAACGTACCAAACCCGCGACCGCGGCTACTTCGTGTGGTACTATCTACCCCGGAGGAACGCAATGCTCTCATGCGGTTTGCGTTTAAGCTGAAAGGTACGAATATTAGCGTTCAGCCGGACCTTCCGCTAGCCGATAGGCTGAAGCTAAGGGAGGCCATCAAGGACCTCAAAAGCAGGCGAGCGGCCGGTGAACAAGGTCTCCGGTTAGTGGGTTTTCGGGTGGTCAGCCGGCGGTCCTTTTCCGCCCTACCACTGCCCATTCTGGTAGCGCACGACCCAGGTCTGGATCTAACGAAAAACTTCAGGTAGTTCTAAGTAATGTGCGCAGCCTAAGGAATAAGGTGTACGAGTTAGGTCTGCTTGTAGATGGGTCTCATCCCGATATACTCGCATTCACTGAAACGTGGCTGTCTCAGGACATCACGGATGGTGAAGTACATCTATCTGGCTACGCACTATTTAGATGCGATCGCTCTGCTGGCCGACAGGGAGGGGGCGTCGCTCTTTATGTGAGCTGTAAACTTGACGTTTTGAAGACTTGCTTATTTCAGTCGGCAGACAAAACTGTTGAAGCTCTATCGGCTGTTATTAGCACATCCTCGACTCAGGTTACAGTTGTAATTGTGTATAGAAGCCCTGGGAGTGTATCCAAAGAGGTACTTGAATTCATTCGCTCCCAGTCCGCAAATAAGTGTTTGGTGATGGGCGACTTCAACCTCCCAGAGATTTGCTGGGCAGATCTTTCTTGCGACTCAGCGTCAGGCACATTCGGCGCTGATCTGCTTGAACTTACGCTCCAAGTATCTTTGCACCAGTTCATTGACCTCCCCACTAGGTACATGGACGCCCAAGTACCGTCTATCTTAGACCTTGTATTCGCTAAGTCACTCGATTTTGTTGGTGACATTACTTACGGACCTCCACTGGGTTCCAGTGATCATGTTTGTTTGCTCTTCAGTTGTACTCTGTCTAGACGCTACCGGAGTACTGTTGAGTCTCGCCCGAACATATGGCAAGCAGACTATCAATCAATGAGAGCCAAGGCTTCTGGTTTCCATTGTGAGATCTCAGACGACGATACTGTCCAGGTTGCCTGGGATAAATTTAAGTCCTACCTCACAGAGGTCTCTACTCCCTTCATCCCAGTCAGAAGGAGAAAGGAGGCCCGAGCACAGCCGCCCTGGATAGATCCCACTGGCAGGCATCTGCTCACAAAGAGGTCTAGATGTTGGAGGACTTACCGCGATGCTCCGTCCACCGAAACTTATGACAGGTACCGTAAGGCTAGAAATAGGTGTAAGCAACACCTAAGGAATGCTCGGCTCAATTTTGAAAAAGGGTTAGCGGACGAAGCTTCAGAGAATCCAAAAAGATTCTTCGCTTATGTCAAAAGGCGCTGCGCTTCGAACATGTCAATTCCAGTATTGATGCGTGATGACGGTACTCATGCGCATACGGATTATGACAAGGCCTGCGTACTCAGTGGGCAATATGCGGCAGCGTTTGTAAGGGAAACCTCTTTGACAGGCGTTGAGCTGGTTTGCAGGACCCCAGAGGGTTCAGAACTATCTGAATTTATTGTAGCGGAGACTGCAGTTCGTAGGCTGTTACAAGGGCTGAACCCTTCTAAGGCCTCGGCCTGATTTAATTCACCCGAAACTGTTACATGAGTTGGCTGCGGAACTAAGTGGACCGCTCGCTATTGTGTTTCAGAAATCGCTTGACAGCTGTGCATTGCCTTCCGAATGGAAGGAAGCTGTCATCTGTCCCATCTTCAAACATGGGGACAGGGGTCTTCCTGCAAATTACAGGCCAGTTAGTCTGACGAGTGTAGTAGTCAAACTCCTCGAGAAACTGGTGAGAGATTCATTGGAGAGTCATTTGAGTAGATTTAATCTACTTAGCAATGTACAACACGGATTCCGGAAGGGATTTTCGTGTCTGACGAATCTGTTGGTGGCTCGCGAAAATTGGGCGGATGCAGTGGATAACGGCCACACATTGGACGTGCTTTTCGTCGACTTTTCGAAGGCATTTGACAAGGTACCCCATTTGAGGCTCGCGCAAAAGCTGTCCTCCTACGGGGTATCTGGCCGCGCCCTACATTGGGTGACTGCATTCTTAGAGGATAGAGAACAGTGTGTACGGGTAGGCCGGGGCCTATCATTTAGGCAGTCTGTCCTCAGCGGCGTGCCGCAGGGCTCGGTCCTTGGACCGCTGTTGTTCTCTATCTATGTGAATGACCTACCCGCGGAGCTTGAGGTACCATCGCTGCTATTTGCTGATGACCTGAAGCTGTGGAACATTGTTGATGTTCCTGGGGGTTCCGAAGCTATTCAGCGAGCATTGGATAAGCTTTGGGACTGGTCTACTTTATGGTTACTGCCCATAAATCAGGCAAAGTGCTCCGTTCTTCGAATTGGAGGAGGTTGTCCTCCTGCGAAGTACTTGGTCGGTGGGGTCGAACTCCCCCGTGTATCTAGCCAGGTTGACCTAGGCGTCGTACACTCTTCGGCTTTACACTCCGGCGACAACTGGAAGAAGGCCGCAAGCAGAGGTTTTCGCATGTTGTGGTTAATCCGACGTTCTTTCGGAGTCTTGACGGGCGGCATCTTTACGAGGCTGTTCTCGGCTTTCGTTCGGCCTCATCTGGAATACTGCGTCCAGGCTTGTCCGCCCTGCCTCGTCCGGGACAAAATGGAGCTAGAGAGGGTTTTACGAGTGGGTACTAGGTTAGTCGAGGGATTACGGGGACGGACGTACCCCGAGCGTCTACTTAGTTTGGGAATGCATTCAATGCACTACCGAAGGCTTAGAGGAGACCTAATCCTAACCTACCGTATCTTGACTGGGAAGGTTGGTCCAGATTTATCTTGGCTATTCAGTCCCGCTAGATTGTCTGTTCTACGCGGTCATTCGTTGAAGCTGGACAAACCGCGGTCCGATCGGATTAGGGCGGAAATCCGGCTGTCACGCAGAGTCATCGACCGCTGGAACATGCTTCCGGAAAGTGTTATCAGGGAATCTACGGTTAAGGGGTTTGAGCGGCAACTTGACGCTCTTGGGTGGCAACACGAAACCTTTCCATTTTCCTGAGTAACTCGCATCTTCGTACTTCGATTTTCTTTTCTCTACTTTTCTTCACGTATTGGTATTATTTTCTTATTTAAGTGCACTTCCCTATTCTGTACCTTCGATTTCTCTTCCTATCCTTTGCTTACTTCACGTGACTGCCACAGCAGGGACTGCCAGGGCAGGAAACGTGGGCATTAACTGGTTGGCCAGGGTGCGATACGGGTGTTTCCGTTTTAGATCCATCAATAACTGAGCACTTCATCAATTCCTGGCTCAACGATCCACTCAAGATGGAACACTCACGGGATTCTCCTATCGTTCCAGTCCCCATCTGAACTGAACTGAACTGAACTGAACAGACACCACAAAGCCATTGTCGTCTACGTTAAGCGTAACCGTGAAAGGAGCTTAGCGTATCTTAGCATGTAAATCAACTCGACTCCAAGCAACACATCGGAATGGTTTGAGTCAACATTAACATACGGCAGTTCTGCGGTTTGTTGTAGTAGATTCTTGGTCTCCAAAATCAGTTTCTACTACAATGTGTTACGCTGCAAAATAACGTTACTTGTTGGTACAACAGAATGCTCATAACGTTCGAGATCTTCCTTATACATGAAACGAGAGCGTCGGATTAATCGAAAACAGCTTCCTATCCGCCACTTGGAAATAACGCTCCTTCGGCAGTGTTATTCCGGTACACAGGGTTGCGGGCTGCTCGGTAGTCGCAGTCCTAGCAGGGTAGTTTAAAGATGGTGACGTTTGTTGATTGGTCGGACGGGATTGAAACGACTAACCCCTAGACTCTGACATTCTACTCTGGTGTAACCTTAAAACTGTGTTTTAGTGTGCTAAAAAGCTATTAACCGTTTGCCACCGATTCGAATGGATTATTGGATGATAGAGAGCAGAAGGAACATCCTTTGTCAGCTCCTTCACTTCCCGATCATTGCGCAGATGGCGTGGGTCATTGCGGCAGAAGGTTCCGCAGAGGACCACTGTAGCTGCCTTAGAGGCAGCAGAATCCCAGCGCGCTCAGGTGAGAATCTAACAGTTGTTTGAAACGTTCCTCTGTCTCAGCATCAACAACAGGATCCGGCAACCGGTTCCAATCAGTCACCACGCGAGTTGATAAGGCCAAATTGAGCCGCACACGGAGATTCCTCGGTTTGAACAGTTTCATGCGGTGGCCTCGTGTCGAACTCTCA